TGCAAAATTAACACCCTGTTTTCTGTTTGTCCAGTCTACTGTTGGAATGTTAATTATAACTTTTCCCTAAGTGCAGAAGCTTTGAAGGCATCTGCACAAGCCCTTTTTAAGCCTCTGATGTCATTCAGGATCTGACTTCTAATATGAAAAACAGATTTTATTTGCGTTTAAATCTTCAAAAACAGTAGGGAGTATTCCACCCTCCTCTTTGCAGGGATCAAAAGAACCAAAAAAAGAGGCTGTATTCTCATCTTAATTTTAAGCTTTGGCGTTCAGGTTATATTGCAGATCGTAAGACTCTTTGTACATCATACAGTATGTGGGAATGCAAAACCTTCTGTTCTTGAGCACAGCTATTTGTAAAATATGTTGGTAACTGTCTCTTTATGTTTGCCTTTGTCCACAGACCCAAGGCAGTATGCATGGTTACTCTGTGTGTGCGTGTGTGTGTGCACGCGCGCACGCCTCCCCCATTATTTCTGCTACAATTTTTGTTGTGTCATCTATTTGAATGGTTTCTTCAGTTAGGAAGGAACACTGAGAGTTCCTTGCAGCCGAGGAGTGTATACTCTAAAGTGGGCAGTGGCCATGTAATCACCTGGACAGTGGAACAAGGGAAGAAAAGGACAAAGGCAGACGAATGTCAATTCACAGAGGGCAGGTCTGCATGTCACAACAAGCCAACATGTCTTAATTTACAATCTGGGTTGTTTTAAGGTTTAATAACCATGCCAACAACTCACTGAAAGGGTTCAAACAGCACAACAAGCTTCACAGTGCCACCCCTACCCTCCCATACCTTGCATTAAAAAAAAAAGGCCAGCACATAACAACCCCCATGGGTAAAGTAACCCGCAGTGGCTTATCTTGATGTGCAAGCAAACCCATAGTTTGCTTAGAGATGGGGAAAAGCTTGTTTGTTGGTTTGCTTTTTGAAATAAATGTTAAAAGTAATGGCAACAACAAAAAACATGTACATAATAATGTAGCATGATCACTAGAGAAACAGAGATCCAGTCGTCATAATTCTTAGCCTATCACCAATGTGTTTGTGGGCTGTCTACAGTAAGCAGCCTGAGCAGGAGCTCCATTTCTAAGGAAAGAATGAACACACAGGTTACACAGCACACAGAAGGAGTGGGTGGGTGGGTTAGTTGGGAAAAATCCAGGCAAACATACTTAGTTGGAATTTGATTTTAAAAATTGGAGCGTTTAAGAGAGCAATCCAGATTTGCAGGATTGACTTACAGATGTGCATGGTAAAGAGGAGGGGTTTTATGTGTGGCTTCAGATGCTGCATAATGCAGGGAAAAAACTAAACTGTAACTAAGAAGTTGGGAGACCCTTAAGAAGCGTAGCAAAAATTCCTTCAAAGGATTTATAAAACTCTGCTGGTAGCCCATCCGGGCCAGGAGTTTTGTCATTCTTTTGTCGTTTAATTGCCTCTATTACTTCTGTGATTGTTACTTCTTGATTCAATACTTTTTGGTATTTCTCCGGTAACTTTGGCAGGTCTCTCTTTCAGATACATTCTTTTACTTTCTCAGTTGAAATCTCATCATTCTTGTATAGCTTTGCAAAGAAATCTTCTGCTATTTTCTTGATATGTACTGGATTTGTACTTGCAGTCGTCCTTCTCCATCCTTCAATTTACTTATCAGTCTCTTCTCTCGTTCTTTCTTTACTTTATAGTCTCCTTTACTTTAACCATATCCCTGGTTTATTAACATTTTCAAAGAAGTTCTGTTTGGTCAATTTCATTTGCTTAGTGAGTTCATTTGTGTCCAGGAGGTTCAGTTTATGTTTTAGAATATTCATTTGTACCTTAAGGGGTTTTTTTGGATGGATCTTCTTGTAATTCTTGTTCACATTTTGTCAGTTCCTCTACTATTTTAGCTCGTTCTTGTTTTTTCCTTTTGTTTATTTTTGCTGAGTTGTACTAAAGATGGTTGTGTTTCATAATGACAGCCTTTTTTATCATAGTAGCACTCAGACATGAGGACTCGGAGTCCACCATCCTCATGAGCAGTACCAAAGTTAGGGGGAAAGATGGAAGACAGTGGGGTAGATCATGGCTCCCTTTTCTGTTCCCCTTTTCTTTTTACAGGCGTTTGTCGTGGTTTCCATTGTCAGGTATAAGAGAAGCTGCTGGCCTTCTCTTTAGGGACAGCTGTTGGCCTTCTCCTGATTCTAAACATCTGTTCCATAGTGAAACTAATAATTATGTTGTCCTCTGAACATCCAAACCCAGAGGGAGGTGCCAAGTGAATAAACTGGTATAGTGCATGTTCTGTTCCAAGGAATATTAGTAATCACTTCAAAAGCAAACTCCAGTACCTCACCCACTGCGGTTGCTTCAGAGAGTTACTCAGAAAGCTTGATTTGCATTTCTTCAGCCATTGAGTACAGCACAGCACTCTTGAGGGTGGCAGGACATACACTGTCACTGGATTTTCTTGAGCACAATAGGAAGGGAAGTTTGTGCAGCAAGTTATTAATGACAGAATTTGGGGTGATAAAAGTGCGAAGCTTTATGCATGCTGAAAAGTACCATGGGAAGGCTCAGGAGTTCTATTCAACCATAGAAAAACATTGAAATAAAGTGAAAACTGATAGCCATGTAAAGGCGGTATAAGGAATGTGTTGCCATTTGTGACAGGTGTGTTCATCTTTTTTGTAGCTGCATCCTCAGTAGCTAACAGAATTGTGTGAGAGAGAAAAGATGAAGCTTCTTGAGTAACGAACATCCCCCAATCTTAGTAAGGCTTTTATATAGATATTCCACTCTAGAGTAGCTATGAGTTGAATTGGAGATCAGTTCTGAATGTTTTGTCTCATGACATCTGTTTCCAGAAGTGTGAACTATCTTTTCATATGCTTTCTGTTCCATGGGTTTTTGACATGTCATATCATACTAATGTCATTTGAGGCATTAGGGTTAGTAAAAATATCTGCTAGTAAGGATGTGAATATAGCCAGATATCGATGCCCAGATTTGAGGATAGCTTACATTTCAAGCAAACTTATTTTATTTTTCTATGTACGTACATATTTTGGTGTTTGCATTGAAATTCATTGCATAAATACTATTACAGTATTACTAATATTTGAAGTCATGCTTATTACAAAATAATTCAAAAACTGTGGTCACAAACAAGGAATTTAACCATATTTTCACCCATACAGAATTGTGTTTTTCTAAGGGTTGTAGTTTATATTTCAGTGAATTTTAGAAGATGCTTGAGAGGTGACATGGTCACGCTTTTTACAATTTTATTTAAGTCTTTTAGGCTACAGTCCAACATTTCTGGGAGCAAGCCCATTGGGCCCTGTATAACTTGATTCCAAGTCAACTTACAAGATATTTATAAACAGTACAAACTACCATAGACGTTTCTGTAACATGATTTTGACAACTGATAGTCTGTCTAGAGGCCTTAACTTAGAACTGAGCCTGTCTCTAGCTCTGCTTGGTTTGCCTATGATCTGATATTCACCATTGTGTTCTTTGTTTTGATAGACTGCAAAGTTCATTTTGTACATTTGGTTTCTAAACTTATGTTTTGAAATGATTGTGAAATCTGGTATGGTTTAGAGAGTGTTAGATGTGTGTACCCAAATCACCAGGGATGCACTTTTTATGTTCACGCCATGAATTGTGGATGACAGCTTCATCCTTCCAATGTAAGCCTGTACAGTGGAAGCTGTAATCATGTGGTCAGAGGCTTGTCTGGGAATAGAACAAGGCAAGAAATTCAGTATATTCAAGAGAATGGAAACAGCAAACGGACAATACACTTGAGGTTCTCACTAACCTGTTAAACTTTAAACACTGTGGTCCCGTCATACCTTAGAAGCCATTAGCACTTTGTGTGATCTCTCCAGTCAACTTGGAGCTCAGCCTAGTCCAGCGGTTTAAAATGCTTTTTAAGAAAGAGTGGATAATGTACTGGGTAATGCTGGTCTTTGACAGCAGGAACTTGGGTTCAAATCCCATTCAGACATGAAGTTCAGAGTTGGACATTTTCTTCCCTCAGTCTAAACTACATCTGATGTGAGGTAAATGGAGTGGCTCTCAGAAGAATTGCAATATAAAGAGAGTCAAATGAAAATTAAATGTTTCTCTCGAAAATGTTATTGACAATTTTAAAAATAGTTAAAACCTGAAGGCAATACAATTGTTTACATTGCATACAGGTTAAGTCATCAAATACAACAAATGCATATGGAATTTATATGCTAATATATTACATAAATATAAAGAAATATATATATCCACACATTGGTGTCATCCCACCTATTCAAAGACTGAAAGAGTCAATCTTATCTACTGCATAATTGGGGATGGCCATTTATCTTTCAATGTTGTAATGTCAGTCATTTAGCTGTCATAAGGGTTCAGTATACCATTTATATTGACCTTGTATTAGATTCCAGTAAGTGGGTAAACAGTAAAGTGAAATTTGTGACTATTAAAATGCTTTCCAACAGTACATTAATCCATATTATAACCTATTCCCAGAAAGAGGCAGCTGCTTGGCACTGCCAAGCATACAGGTGAAGAAAAGATTAACAGTATCACACCTGACTTACTTATTTAGTTAGCTTTTAGCTTTACATCCTGCCAGTAATAAATAAAGTGGGTTACATCATTCTCTTCCTCCTGCTCCCCATGTTATCCCTACAACAACAATCCTGTGAGGTAGGCTGGGGTGAGAGAATGTGGCTGGCCCGAAGTAACCCAAGTGAGCTCCATGGTTGAACTAAAATTAAAAAGGTGGTTTTCTATGAGAAGCAGCTCCTGCAAAAAACATTCCTAAATAAGATTAATCAAGTTAATTAATTAATTAATCTTATTGATGTTAGAACTGCTTAGATGTAAATACACAAGTCTGGTAAAAGATCTTTGGGTCTTGGATATAATGCCTGTGCTGTGCCCGCCTGCAGTGCATGGCTGACTCCCGCAACCGTCAGACCTTCTTTCTGCCTCTCTGTTCCAGGTAAAGAGCAGTCGTCGCTGGAATTGATGAACGTGCTGCCAATGCCTGGTCCGCCACAGCCCACTTTCACTAAAGAGTCCGGCTCCTCCAAGCACAGTGAGCACCATCACCATCACCATCATGAACATAAGAAGAAGAAGAAGAAGCACAAGCATAAGCACAAGCACAAGCACAAGCATGACAGCAAGGAAAAAGAGAAGGAGCCTTTCACTTTCTCTAACAGCCCTGCCAGTGGACGATCCATTCGCTCGCCATCGCTGTCAGACTGAAGCAAACGGCAGCCAGGTTCATAGAGCAGAAGGCAGGGAGCCTGTTTTCCCTTCTTTAAAGCAAAATGCAAGTCCCTGCAGGGGTTTGCATCCTATGTCGAAATCTAAATTCCAAGTTTTTCTGCTGGCCAGCTGCATTGGCCAGATTCAAGGGATGGGAAGAGAAATTGGTTCAGAGACAACTTCTGTGACAGTATTCTCCATCCATCTTCCTTACATTTTTTTCTTTCAGAGAGGCAACTAGTGTGTGTGTGAGTGTGTGTGTGTGTGTGTGTGAGAGAGAGAGAGAATGATCCAAAGCCCAACAGGGTCTTTGTGTGTCCTGCCAGAATGAATTACATTTTAAACTTTTGAAGGCTGTCATGAGGTGGGTCTTCAGCAGAAGCAGTCTGCCAAACCTCCTGGAAAAGCTGCCATTCCTGCATCGTGTTGGATAATGTAGACTTCTTGAGGCCTTTGTACATCTCTTTAACCATTGTAGGTGTCGCACACTTTTAAAAAATAACCTAGGATGGTTGTATATCCAAAGTAATGCATATTTTTATTTTAAGATGATGATTTTTTAAAACAGTTGAGCATAACCTGTTTGAGTAGAACTGCATTTGGCAATTGTCTCTGTAACGTTTTTTCTTAGCAGGAAAAAAAAAAAAATACCTTGTGCTCCATTCTCTGTAATCAGCCTTATAGCTGTATAATGAAGTTTGAGCCAAAAACAAACCCTCAAAAACTGGCAATGGAAACTGTTCCATAAAATGTCACTTAACCTTTAAAATCCTCTACTTGTAAGGAAAAAGCCATTGCAAATATTTAAAGTCTCCTGGTTTCTAATAAATTTGTTTGGAAACTCTCTAACAGGATCCTTCTCAGTGTGCAGTAAGTAAACTCAAACATGAAGCTGTGACTTAGTTCATTTATTAAATAAGGTAATAAAATTCAAGCGGCATTCTGTTGAAGAACTTGATAAAAGTGAAAATAGGACTGCTTTTTAACACTTCTGTTTCATTTAATGGAATGATTAGTGCTTTTCTTCTCCCACCACCCCATCCCTGATTTTATAGAACATTTTTACGTGCTTCAACAATCTGGTTTAGAGCTTTTCTTGTAAATTCATAAAGTGGGTGAAAACTTTTTTAAAGAAATTGGTATGCATATATATGTAAGTTTATTGACAGTGGAAGGAATAATGCTGACCCATGAAAAGACAAAAGACCCAAGAAAAAAATTAAAACAAGTAATTCATTAATAAACACTTTTATACAACGTGCTGTTCAGTGTTTTACCGTCTTACTATGTATAATTATTGGTGTAAAATTGTGAGCTGGTGAGGAAATGAAGTGTGCAAGCTTGGGTCTCATGTCTCTGGCTAATGCTATATTACATAAAAAGTGTGGTTTGGCTCCTATTCCAACCTGTGGGAGGCAGATTATAATAAGTGTCCTGCCGAAGTTCAGTAATGTTATTGCTGGGTTTGAAGTCTTCCGTGGCTTGGTATTTCTCCAGAGTTATCTTCATGCAAGAGTTTTTTTCCCCTTTGCTTTAATAAGAATTATTTTGCTTGAGGAGCATGCAGTCTGCATAATTACAAATCAGAAGCAGTACTGTGGGATTTCTCCAAATTGGCAAGGAAAGCTGGTGAACTGTAGAGAATGCTGTATACATTCTAACCACTGAAAACTGCAACAGTTTACCCTAACCCAGCAGTCCATAGTGTCCTGCAAGCCACTGCATGGCCCTTTTTTCATTCATTCATTCATTACCTTTTTTAAAAATCTAAAACAGCCTTCATTCAGGTGGGTACAGAGACATTCAAATTAATAATGGCAAATAGAATTGACTAAAAGCAACAGTAGTAACCAGCATGCTGGCAATAAGGAGGTTCAAAAATGATGAAATAGAGAAGAGGGAAACATTTTTCATGCCCAGACAAAAATGTTGTGTAGTCCTGCTTTCAGTGTTCCTGTAATATCAATACCAGTTGAACCACCTTGGTAAGGACATTCTGAGTTGCTGGTCATAAAATTATAACCCTGCCTCTCCTCATATGGTGAGTTTGGAAAGAAAATTAGTTGTAGGAGATGCTTTGTTGGTGTCCCTCAAACATAACTGCAGGTGCTTTCTGATTTTAATTTTGTTTGCTTCAGAAGAACCATCCTTCACACATTTCCCAAAACACTCTGAATTAGCCTGAATGTACAAAGCTGAGTGCACTAACAAGCCACTATGCATCCCTTCATACTCGGTGAAGTTTGATGAGGAAGTTTGGGGGCATTTAGAGGAGGGTGCATCCCCGTCCTTTTATTCCTATGCAGTTAGTGTAGCATGGGAGATGCTGGGAGGGGAACCCAAGAAGTCCAGGAGCTGCTCCTCACTTGGCCATGAAACTCACTGGATAACTTCTCAGCCTAACCTACCTCACAGGATCAATGTGAGGATTAAACGGAACCAAGAGTGACTGAGCAAGCCACCTGGGTTTCCTCAGAAAAGGAAAAGATGGGATATAAATGCCATGTGATCATTGTAGCAGTGTTCTCAGTGTGATGCTAGAAATGATTTACTTACCGCAATTATGCCATCTGGGGCTCGCTCAGATGCAAGAGAGGGCAGGAGGCATTTGGATGTGTTCTCAAACTGCGTGTGACCCTGGGCTGCCCGCTCAGCCCGAGGGAGAAATGCCTTTTTCAGGGTTTCATCATACGCTTTAAGCGACTTCATATGCATTCCTGATTAAATGGAGATTCCCTACATACAACTCCAAGAAGTCCTGGTTGCTTTGATGATGTAACAAAGAGTCCAGCTATCACAATTCTGAGAGCCGAGGGGCTGAATGATAGTCTGATAGTCTATCTGCCTTTGAATCTTGCCTCTAGCATGACCCATGAGAGCGACAAATAGCTGGTTATTTAATGTATTCCTGCTTTTGTTCCTACAAGGGCGAGGAGCTTCTGCCATTTATTTCATTTCTACACTGCCCCACATCCAAAGTTACCAGGACAACTTGACCAGCCTGTTATACATCTTGACTTGGCTACGTGCAGTAAAATCATCAGGCCAGTCCCATGTTCTGCCCTCATCCTTGCATTGTAAACATCACAATACCAGTTTGTCCTTACGTGTTTATTACTGAGATGCAACATAGAAAGGGCCTTGAATCTCTCCCATTACTGAAGGAAGATTTCATCCATGGGAAACATCTGGCCCAAGGGCCTAAAAAAGCTCCCAAGGCTCATCCATCTGGCCCAGTATTTGCCTGCCTTGGTTCCTCACCCCACTGTCCTCCCAAGAAAGCAGCCCTCATCTCAGTGAAGCACTGAGAAATGGAGCTATTGTCAGCTGCTCAGGACACACAGATCAGCTGCTGATCGGAGACAAGGGAGGCTTTTTGTGGGACTAGGGGAAGAAGTTTCTGAGTGATTTCTTGTCCCACAGAGGCATGCTTTGCTTGCTTTTCAGTAGACACGCTTTCCCCCTATAAATTGATAACAATGGAATTAGAGGTTGGTTCACCTGTTTACCTAACAAAAGCACTAAAAGGCTTCTGTATGACATTTGTTGTTTCTTTCCATATGGTCTGGAATCAATTTCTTTTAGGAGTTTGCACTTGCAAGTGTTGTGTGCAGCAGTGGTGAAGACGATAGAGAAAAGAAAAGAAGTGTTCTTATTCTGCCAAAAACATATTAGCTAAGAAACTCAAAGAACAAGTTGTTGTTTGGATTTTTAAAAAAAATCTGCCTAGAATGGACAAATAACTCCATAATAACTTCTGTTTCCACTACATCCCCTGACCCTTCACTTCTTGATTTAATTCATAGGTGAACAGTCAGATGTAGTAGGAAATGGTTTTATCCAACTTCACTAACCACTGGGCATTTTATTCATGTATGTATTTATTTTGATTGGAACTCCATTTACTCCAAAGTAATTTAATGGCGCACAACCCATCATGCTAGATGGAGTGGGTTAAAAGTTTGCTTCCTGGCTTAATCAGTTCCAAAACAAGGAAACACATAGATCCTGATGTTTGGAAATATTCTCCCCAATCCCTCTCAAATAGAATATAGAACCTCTGTTCATTAATGCACTGAAGCTTTGCTTTCTGCCTAACTCCTCTGCACAAAATTGATCAACTACATTTATATTTGTTAGTGTTGTTTATTTTCTTTCAGTAAAGTGAAAAGCAGGCTTTGATCATTGAGCTGCACTAATAGTGTATATGCTTGTAAATCTTGCACAAATTCTGATGCTACTGCTTTTGAAAATTCTCTATTCCTGTCAAACTGTTCGGCCTACTGCCAAAATCCATCTAGACTGCATGATGGTTTCATCTGAGAAATGGGTATGTAGCAGATTCTTTAAAGCTCGGCTCTGGAATATTTTCAGGTCGTCTGCTGGAGGAACACCATCTACCTATTGTAAAACTGACAAGTAAGGTTGCAGGCCCCCCTGGAAGGGAGAAGAGGGTAGAAAAATGCAGATCTACTCAGAATGTTTTCCTATCGAATACAATACAGCTTATTTCCCAGACTGTATATATGCAAACCTATTTGCTTTCATTTGTGTGTGAATGTGTGTCTCCATTGTTTAGTGTGTGTGTGTGGGGGGGGGGTAATGTTTTATTGTACATTATTGATAATGTGAAGCTATTTCTGCTGCTTGAGGAAATTTTTCCTCAAGCTATTGGTGCTGATTGGCCTTTCTCCCCACCCCTAGCCCTTTTGTGCTGGTTAATGGAGGTTGTAGTCCAGAACATGTGCGAGTCCTTTAAAAAAATCTGCTTGGGTTGGCTGTGATGATATTTCTTTTCCTTTTAAGACATCTGTTTGTGGTTGCTTGTGGGGTGGGTGGCTTTGTGATGCAATCAGAACTTGTGGCCATGCGTGCTGAGTATTCCAATCCTTTTGGCTTCAAAATAGGCATTTATAAGATGGGTTTATTTTTGATACTTCATGTACCTTTGCTTTGGCTTCTGAAGAAGTTTGGAAAGAATGATCCTTGTGTAGAGAGGTATTTGTTTAGATGCCCAGAAGCCACTGGGCATTCTTAACAGCATTTTGGATGCATTTGTGTGTGCCTCTGGAGGCATCATTATCCTTATCCACAGTCTATCTGGGTGTCCCTTTTTGCAGTGGGTTGTTGCTACTTTTCTGTGTGGCTCTCAGACTAACATCTTTTTATTTTTATTTATTAAAACATTTTTATGCCGCCCCATTTGCCGAAGCCTCGGGGCGGCTTACAACAATAAATAAAACCAATAAGTTAAAATATACATATAAAATAATCATAATAATTTAAAACACACATTATAAAATAAGCCGCCCTGGCCAGATAAAATTCAGTGGTATTAACATTTAAAATGTTGCTTAAATAAAAGTCTTTACCTGGTGCCGAAAAACAACGACGGCGCCAGGCGGACCTCTCTGGGGAGCGCATTCCATAGATTGGGCGCCACCGCAGAGAAAGCCCTCCTCCGAGTAGCCACCCTCCTAATTTCTCTCACGGAGGGCTCCCGGAGAAGGGCCTCTCCCGCCGATCTCAGGGGGCGACTGGGCATATGTGGCTGTAAGCGCTCCTTCAGGTAACCAGGACCCAAGCCGTTTAGGGCTTTATAGGTCATTACCTATAATGGTTACTTGGTTACTATCCTGAGTTTGTGCAGCTATGTGGATTCTTTCCCACTGTTTTGCGCTGCAGTAGTGCGGATGTTTGTGTCAAGATGTGAATTTTGGATGCTGTGAAATAGCTTGTTGCTGGTAGAACCAGGATAATATGGTTTCAAGGGAAAGTTTTCTACTGCAGTTCTATGGGTTAGCCCATTGCCTCCTGGAATCCCTTCTCATGAGCCCGACCCTTCCTTTCTTGCCCTAGCTTCCGAAACACAAGGCATCTTCCCTGGCACTTCACAGCTAATAAGACAGTGCAACACTAAGAGCACTCTAGCCAGCTGAATGATAACCCTCTGCTCATGTAAAGAGTGTTGAGCCCTTAACTGGAATCCTCAATCCTTCATTTTCAGGAATGCTGCAGGCTTCATCCACAGGGTGGCAAGCACCTCAATTCAGTGCAAGCCCTCTAACTGGGAAGCCTCATCATGGGTTCAGGGGCCAGGAAAGGCAATGGGTCTCCCGAGGTCTTCTGCCATCTCTTTCAAAACATCTCTGCGCTCACCATCAGCCTGGGAAACTGCAGGCAGTGACCTTGATAGAACTTCAAAGACACCTGTCCACCTTTGATCCTCCTGCCCTCCCATCACCTTCCTCAGAATC